TTGGCAGATAAACCTAAAATAACAGAAGCAGCAAGACTTGTTTCATTCATATTTTTTTAATTAATTTGAGACAAGTAAAGACATATCCGTTCAAAAATGACTCTAGACAATCTCCCCTAACATTCCTAGTGCTCGAATGATACCTCAAGCAATAACAATAATTCTTTTTCCAATGATGTCACTCGGTTCGGTTCGTGCTCATTCGTTATCTTAAACACTTGGAAAGGAGACGCATAGGTGAGATTGGATCCAAATTCTGCAAGTACTAGTTCTCATTCAAGGTACTACAACCAATGAGCTTTCCATCCTAAACCACTCAAACACGATATGGATACTAACAACAACGCTAGCAGAAAATCCTGAACATTTCATGACAGAGTCTTCCCCAATGCAATTATAACAAGCAATTATTCCCTTGTCGAGAGGCTCATGCTGAGATCTAATTGACAAGGCAATATTATAATAGGATGAAGATAAATGTCAAAGTTTTTTCAACAAATGTACCTTCAGATTCAGAGGATTGCTCCGTCATTGACTCAGCAGGCAGGCTTGATCAAAATTGGCAATTCCTTTGGGACAAAAAGAAAAAGAAAAAGAAATACTGCAACTTGAATAAACGACAGGGGAAGAATGAAAAGACAGATTACGAGTTTGTGCGTGAATCTAACATGAAACTAAATCCAGCTTTCCAGATTTTCGTTTTTGTAGTACAGTTCTATTAGATTCACGCACAAACCTGAAATCTGCCTCTTCCAGTGAAAACTGAAAGGAACAGGGAGAGATTGAAAGAGGTTTTGAGTTTTATTTTCCACTTTTAGAAATTGGAATTGATTTGGGTCGGCTTTTAAAGCTGGGAAAGATGGAGTTTGATAAACCCTAATTTTAATGGCTCAGATATGACAGCAACATGACTTAAGATAGGTGAGGTGATGTGAGAAGAACTACCAAAAAAAAAAAATATTCTGATAATTTGGCTATTATTTTAGGGTAAATTACACATTTAAAACTTATTATATTAGTTTTAATCTATTTTAATATATAAACTTTCAATTATTTAAAAATCATACCTAACGTTTAGTTTTTATTCTAAAATATCTAAATCATTTAACAATGAACACTCAAGTATCCTACAATTGTTGGTGTTTGAATTCATTAACTCTAAAAATAACGACCATTCCTTTAACCACCGAAGTAATTTGATTCGTACGTATGTTATTATACATTTTTTCCTATAGAAGTGCAATTTTATATTCATTCGAAAGCAGCAAAGCTGCACTAAGTACAACACCTTCAGAACAAGAAATTACAAATTAAAATTAATCAAGCTATCTCTATTCACAGATTTATCAAGGAGTCTAAATCTAACAGCCTCCTTAATAGTCCTCAAAACATCCTGTCCAAGTCTTTGTTTCCCCTGAAACACCCTACAATTTCTCTCTCTTCAAACAAGATAAATGAATGAGCTCCAAGCCAGTTGCAAGATAATAATGAGTAGGAACTTACCCTTCAGCTTTTTCAAAGTTCAAAGGAACCCCAAATGTCAACCCAAAACCCCTCTGTGCAAGCCACATAGTCTCAAAATAGTAAGCCATATATATCTGGAGAAGGAATAATCAAAGAAAATGTGATCCATGGATTCAGGTTCCATTTCACACAGCACACAAGATCCCAAAAGTATGTAGTCTATCATTCGTTAGAAGTCTAATAAGAATAGCCATCCAAAGAATCATAAAGTGCCTGAGAATGTGAAAATCATGTCAAATCAGTCTATGACATGGCACCTTCCTCCTATTCAGTCTGATAACATCTCACACCTTCCTCAAGGTCACGCTCGAGTCTATCACAAGGCCAACAGAGATAATTGTCTTCAGCTTAAGCAGTCTCCTCCATACATAACTATGATTGGAACCAGCCTGTACATGCCAAAAGTCAGTTTTCTGTAGGACATACTCATGAATCCGAGTCACCCAAATAGACCATTCCTCCTGTCGGATAGCCTTAATGAGCAACACCTAACGTGCATCGTACAAGGTCTTCAAATCTTTTAGCTCCAACCCCCATTCGACTTGGGGCTGTAGATTATCTTTCACCCAACTCGAGCCCCTCTAGCCTCAATATCACTATTCTTCCAAAAGAACCTGAAGCAAAGTTGCTCAATTCGAGTAAGAACGGATTTAGGAATGACCAACTGTCGACTTCAGTAGTTTTGGATATTAAAAATCGATGCTTGAATCAACTGAGCCTTCCCCGCATATGAAAGATTCTGAGCAGTCCAAGTGTGAAATTGAGCCTCAATTCTTTACACTAATGGCCTGCAATCAGCCACCGAGAGTTTATAACGACTAAGGAAATCCCAAGATATCTCACCGGGAGTCTCTCAATTATGAATCCCATGTCCTCCTTAATAGCCTCAAGTTCCTCCCCAGTCCTCCTTAATATCCTCAAGTTCCTCCCCAGTCCTCCTTAATAACCTCAAGTTCCTCCCCAGATATTATATATTATACATAGATCGTGGTACAATTTTTTAATACATATATTTTTATTTATCTATTTTTAGATCTAAAAATAAAATAAATTAAAAAAATGGTTCTTATAATAAAACTTTTGAATATATTATTTGAATTAATCATTTATAAACTAAAAATTACCAAATAAAAAAACCTTTGCAACTAAAATTCCAGAGTCAATGAGCTAGTTACTTGGTCGATCAAATAGACCAGCATGCTATGGACATCGCTTGGGCTGCCTATAGACCATGGCTGAATGTTAATATGTTGTCTGAGATATGATCAAATATGATCCCAAAATTTCAAACAACTAACATATCTCATACAGTAGATTAACATTCAGCTCAGACTATCGTCATTTTTAATGGAAATGATGAGTTTAGAACATAATGAATAGTCGGGTTACCATTTTAAAACTTTTAATAGTCGAAAAACTCAACAAAGCAACATCCTATAATCGAAAGACCGTTTGGTAACTTTTAATGGTAAGATGACTCAATAAAGCTGTGTCCTAGAGTCTGGGGATCATTTGTGTGGTTCACCCAAAAAATTATACATCGTCTTTATTAACAATAGTGTCACCAAAAGTTCTTTTAGTGCGTCGCTATTAAAGAAATTATATTAAAAGGAGCAACTTATAAAAATTTTCCCTTCTTTTCTAGGGCTCATTTAGGAACCGACAGTTCAACATGTAATATTTTGGCGTTTGTATAAGTAGAAGCCTCCACTTTGAAAGGATAAAATTAAACAAAAAAACAGCAGTTAATGAGACAATAATTTCATTAATCCTCCACACGATTATATGGCAATAAAATTAAGTAATACCAACTAATACACATCAGTTACTTTGGTAATTGACTGTTCACTGGTGGATACTTCCATGTGAACTGGCAGAACCAGATAACAAATTCATTTCTTCATAATTATTGCTCATCCATGCTTAAAGCATATTTAACAGCAAGTTAACACAGTTTCCATCATCCACAGAAGATGCAGCACCTCTCTTCATTCTTTTCGATCGTGTTGTTGCTTTGTTTCGGTGTCTGCGAGGCGTTCGAATGAGAATCCGGTTCTCGACATCGACCCGGGGTCGCTTATACCATATGGGTGGATAAATCTGGCAAAGGAGACTTCAAATCTGTTCGATATTGATTCAGTCCCTCCTAACAACAGTGAGTGGATACGTATCTATATCTCCCCGGGGCTCTTCAGGTCCTACATAAGCTCATGCATGTGATTCAATATAAAAAAAATGCGCATGTATGTATGTATGCATGTATGACTTGTCTTGTCTTGTTGGTTCAGGGAGAAAATTACAATTCCACCCCATAAACCTTGCATTTACCTAGAAGGATCTAGGAGTCGGTTAACGATTATCGAATGGGATGATCATCATGAAATGTGCGATAGTGCTACTTTCACCTCGTACCCTGATAACGTTGTTGCAAAAGGCATTTCTTTCAAGGTATAGAGTTGTTTTTGATTCAATTATGGTTTTGGTCTTTCTAGTTCATAAGTTAATCTAGTTTATATGAACAGAACATTACAACATACCACCGGTTGTGCTAGAAGGGAACAACTCGGTGGTTCTGCCTCTAGCGGCGAGAATATACGGGGACAAATCGGCGTTTTATAGCTGTGGTTTCTTCGGGTTGCAAGATACGTTATGGGACGTGGAAGGCTGCCATTACTTCTACGGTTGCTACATCGAAGGCGGTATAGATTTTATATTCGGGAGTGGCCAATCGATCTACGAGGTATGTTTTATCATGTTCTAACATGTTTTAGTTTGATGAGAAAATGAGATTTGTTTTGCTGTTGTGATCATGCAGAGTTGTCATGTAAAGTCACGTTGGGAAAATACGAACCGCAGTATATCGGTTACATTACGGCACAGGGGCAGAACTCATCGGACGATCCCGGCAGTTTCGTGTTTAAAACTTGTGCTTTTGAAGGGACCGGTAAAACCTACCTGGGAAGAGCTTATGGTGCTTATTCTAGAGTGATTGCGTAGAGGTCAGTGATGTTGGATATCATTGTGCCTCTCGGTTGGGATGCTTGGGACTATGTTCACCAAGAGGGGAATTTGGTGTATGTGGAGGCTAATTGCAAGGGACCAGGGGCCGACACATCCGGGCGAGTGCCTTGGATGAAGAGATTTGGGGCTTCGCAGCTCCATCGATTTGTGAATATGTCGTATATTGATAAAGAAGGATGGATTGATAAACTGCCCATCAAGTCTTGATTTTGGGCACTCTGTGGAGCTTGGTTGGATTGGCCATTGAGTTGTAATAATATTGTTATGAAATGACATTTGGATTTAGATTTTTTTCCAACTATGTTTGAGTGTTGTTCGTTTATTCCGTTATTATAACAAGGTGTTACTATGATGAGAAGTGATTGACAACATGCATAAGTAGAAGCTATGATTGGTTTTAATATGCTAAGTTTCAACGTTTTGAAGTTTTAGAATTTGGTTCCATGTTGTGTTGCTCAGCCGTTGGTTATAGCTTTCACACCTCTTCTTCCGCCAACGCTTGCATTACCACTTTCACTACCTTTTCCTCCACCATCACTTGCCTCAATTCCTCCTCCTTCACCGTCATCAACTTCAACACCACCTCTCCCATGTCCACAACCTCCACCTCCATTACCCTCACCACCTTCTCCACCACCTCCTGCACCGCCACCATTCCCACCACATACACCACCTCCTACATTGCCACCGCCGCCACCATGTCCTCCTCCACTACTCGCACCACTTACTGCACCGCCACCAACTCCACCATGTCCTCCTCCACTACCCTTACCACCACCTCTACCATGTTCTCCACTACTCCCACCACCTCCTGCACCACCACCAACTCCACCATGACCTCCTCCACTACTCTTGCCACCACCTCTACCATGTCCTCCTCCATTACTCCCTCCACCACCTCTACCTTGTCCTTCTTCACTACACTTACCACCTCCTTCACTGCCACCACCTCCTATACCGCCACCAACTCCATCATGTCCTCCTCCACTACCCCCACAACTACCTCCACCATGTTTATCTCCATTACCCCCACCACCTCCTACACCGCACCAACTCCACCATATCCTTCTCCACTACTCCTACTACCCCTGCACCGCCACCATCGCTTCCACCCCTTCCACCATGTCCTTCTCCACTACCCCCACCTCCTTTTCCTCCGCTGCCACCTCCTACACCGCCACCAACTCCAACACCCCCTCCTACATCACCACCAACCCCTACACTACCTCCACTTCCACCACCCCACCAACTCCAACATCTCCCCTTGCACCACCTCCAACACCAACCCCACCACCATCAACGCCGACTCTAACATCTCCTCCAACACAACCAACAACCTCGACACCACCTCCACCTCCTCTACCAACTCCACCTTCAACACCTCCACCGTTACATGCAGCACCTCCGTCTCCTCCGCCGAGCTCACCACCACCCTTTCCAAAGCAATGATCAACACGGCGACCATGCTTTTGAAGAGAGTAACAATACACTCTCTCTGTCCGTCCCCCGTCAGCCATTCCCATCAATATCAACACAAGAAATACCACAACGGCATGCATTTGAACATTTCCTAAAAACTTCCTCGTGGTTTCCTCCTTATGAGAAACGACGCTTCAAGTTCCATGCTCCATACAATACGCTATTTATAGTAAAGGGTTTAACCTCTAACGATAATGAGATCGAAACCAAAGTCAAAAACACGAAAACGACAGGGTTGAAACCTGAAAGCCAACGCCATTCCCAAACTCATAACGTGTCCATTGTTTTAGTTGGAAAGAATTTGAGGGCAACTGAAACTTCTATGACTTTATCAACTTAAACAGTGAAAGCAGAAATTAAGTGGGAAATACGAGCGGATGATAATAGCCAACCTGTATCCCACAAACGATAGTGAAAGTAAGCATTAGGAAATCGATAGATAAACTCTCGAAGCGTACGTATCAGATTGTAACATCAAAACCCACTTTGTTTGCCTAACAATCTTGTCTAAAATAGATACGTATCAAACGACTACTGATTGTTGTTATTTTTTAAGTTCTCGAATTCGAACATCAAAAATATTATAACTGTAAGTGTTTAATATAAAATGATCGAGAGTTATCCGAAATCCAGTTTACCCCAAGAACATGACACTTCTTGTATGGAATTATTTGCAATTATCAAACTAGAAAATATAAACTAAATTAATATGAGTTTGTGCAGCAGCTGCTAATAGTTGGATATTCAAACTCTTCCTTAAGAGCAGAAGCCTGCAATTTCTGATTGAATAAGGCATAAACTGATGAACAATACTTTTTTTTCCAGTAGCGTCAAATGGATCAATTTTAACTGTCACCTTCGTTTTCCTCAGTAATCTCAATGAACCTTTCGGTGTAACACACACCAAATTATACTCAGTTAAAATATTGAACTAAAATAAAAAAATTTAATATAAAAAAAGGACCACAACCATAAATTAATAAAATTATTTTGATTTTCCATGTACAAATTAGTCAAAAAGAAAATATATTGTAAGTTCATTACTTGTAGGGTTGTTATCAATTACGGCGAATCATTCGAATTTATTTATTTCAACCATCTTTAAAACTGAAAAGAAATACAAATACCATGCACGTCATGACGTAGAGAGAATATTTGTGTGGAAACATCTGATTCGAGGGATAAAATCTGATGATTCTTTATTCCATTATTATGATGTTATTACAACGACGATAATACATGTCTTACTATGTTTACAAGTGATGACATTATTAAATGTAGCCATGCATGCATGACTGACTTTTTCATGTCCATATTTTTCAACATTTTGGAGCTCTAGAATTAAGATCCACTGTGAATTTCACCTTTCGCTCCATGGCTAGTTTCACCTTTCATGCCTTTTCTTCTGCCAATATTTGCACTAGCTTTAGAGTTTCCTCCTACACCACCACCGGCACCAGCACCAACACCTACACCAACTCCGACGCTAACACCACCTCCGACACCAACTCCTGAACCAACCCCACCACCTGCTCCTACACCACCACCTACCCCAGCTCTAATGCCACCACCTACCCCAGCTCCAATGCCACCACCTCCGCCAGCCCCAACTCCAGCTCCTGCACCACTACCGGCCCCAACACCACCTCCAACCCCTGCACCACCACCTACACCTACTCTACCGCCGACACTAACACCACCTCCAACACCTGCACCACCGCCGGCACCTCCACCACCAACACCAGCTCCAACTCCTCCTCCTACACCAACACTACCTCCGCCACGTCCTCCTCCTCCACCACCAGCTCCGGCACCAGCACCACCTCCTACACCACCACCAATACCTCCTCCACCACGTCCTCCTCCTCCTCCTCTACCACCAGCTCCAACACCACCTCCAGCACCTACACCTACACCACCACCAACACCACCACCTCCTCCTACACCACCACCAACACCTCCTCCACCACGTCCTCCTCCTCCACCACCAACTCCAACACCACCTCCAGCACCTACACCCCCACCAACTCCAACTCCACCTCCTGCACCGCCGCCAACACCACCTCCACCACGACCTCCTCCACCAGCACCACCTCCACCTCCACCTCCAGCACCTACACCACCACCGACACCAACTCCAACTCCTCCTCCACCAGTACCGCCTCCACCACGTCCTCCACCACCACCTCCAGCACCTACACCACCACCGACACCACCTCCTGCGCCAGCACCACCTCCTGCCCCAACACCACCACCTCCGCCAACTCCACCCCCAACACCACCACCAGCTCCAATACCACCTCCAACACCTACACCACCGCTAGCGCCTCCACCTCCACCCACTCCACCACTACCACCGAACCCACCACCGCCGGAACCTCCACCGCTACCACCGAATCCACCACCACCCTTTCCAAAGCAATGATCAACATGGCGACCATTCTTTTCAACGGAGTAACAATACACATTGTCTGTTCGTCGCCCTTCAACCATTCCTATTAATATCACTACCAAAAATACCACCACGGCATGCATTTCAACGTTTCCTAAAAACTTTCCCATGGCTACTTTCGAAAGGACACTTTTGAAATAGAGAGAAACAATGCTTCAAGTTCTATGGTATACACGATGCTTGTAAGTTGTAGTTCCATGGCGCATAGAATAGGCTATTTATAGTAAAGGGTCAGGGGACCTTTATCCTCCAACGATAATGAGATGGAATCATGGAAACGAAAGTCAAAAGCATGAAAACGATAAGAGTTGAAACTCGAAAGCCAGAGCGCTATTCCCATGTCATAACGTGGCATGTCAACAAGAGGTCGCTGGTTTCGAGTCCATTGTTTAATTGAAAAGAATTTGAAGGGAATTAAAACTCCTATGGCTCTATCAACTTAAGAAGTGAAAAGGAGAGATTAAGTGGAAAATACGTGCCGATACAAATTGGGTTACAGACCCGCCAAGGTGTATCCCATAGACGGTAGTGAAAGTATGTATGGGGAACTCAGTAGCTAGACTCTCAACACGTAGAAGCCGTTGTAACGTCAAACCCCACTTAGTTTGCCTTATTTGGGTTGGTAAAATTTAAGAACAATCTAGTCTATAGGCGCCCAATATTTATTAATCACACATTTGTCAGTTCTAGGAGAGAGGTTCACTGGTCGCAGGCCAGTGTTCATATTTGGCCATGCTGCCTGTTACAGAGAAATATGCTCAGGCCTGGGTCTCTGAGCACGAGGTGAAAGTTGCCGGAAAATGATCTACAAAGTGTTGTTAATAGGAAAAGATAACTATTAAACTCAATCACTTCACCATGTTTGTGGATGAAATGAACACACTGCCAATGGTAGTCCTTTTTGCTATATAATAATACCAAATCACTGCAAGTTTACAATAATTAAGAAATAAGGATTTTTTTGTCAAAAATGGTTTAATGAGAGAAATCTACTTTAATACTGGCCACTGTTATCAATTATCGTATTTTTTGCTCACCAACTCAAGTTGGAAACCACCCCTTGTGCAGCTGTTGAACCAAGAACCATGGGTACATCACATGCATGGCTTATAGATGGTTGAAAAATCTTGGTCTTCCTACTATAATCCATAAGATCACAGCTTTGGGCTTGGTCTAACAAAATTTTAACTTGGGTCTCACTTGTACGACAAGATATATTTTAAATATTTTACATGTACACGCATAGTATTAAATTGCAACAGCATCGTAACGTCTTTTTAGGTTATCACAACGTAATATCGGCGTAACGCGATAAGAAAATCGCATCACGATTGTTGCGGTTAAAACTGTTACGTAACACCGTAACGCCGCGTTACGCCGCAACAAACTTTAAATTATCTAAAATATAAATTTACATAGATGAATTGTTCTAATTTAATTCTTAAAATTGTATTATAAATATATATCATTAATAATATCGTAATATTTATGTTTAAAATTAGTTACTTAAATTTTAACTAATTAAATATTTATTAAAATTATTTTAAAATTAAATTAATTTAAATTTAAATTGAATTTTTCTCATATCTAAAATTGACGTGATTAAGTTTAAATTAAATTTTTATATAACATTAAGTATCATAATTATATGTTTATTTACTATTATATAAATTTTGTATAAGAGAGGAATTCACTTTATAATACTATAATAGTATAGTATTTTGTCTATTTATTATGAAACAATAAAATTTTATCTAATCTATAATATAAAGAATTTTTATATTTGTAGTTATGTATTTTTTTATTTCTAAGTTATGTAAAATGAATATTTTTATGTTACAATATAAAAAATTTGATATGATTTTAGTGATATTGTTTATACGTTATTCATTAACATTATAATTATTATTACTCATTATCCAGTATAATAACACTTCAATGGTTTATATTTTTTTTAATAAATTTTTATCTATGAAATTAAATTTTTATTTTCAAAATAAAATATTAAAAGAGTATATTAATATTAGTATATTAAAATATAATTGTAAAATGTATAAATATAATATTTTAGACGTACGTATTGAGATTTTTGAGGAAGAGATCACGCCCGCGACAGCCGCAACACGTTATGTAACGTTTGTAGCATCCGCAACAAAATCCGCAACCGCAATTTGATACTATGTGTACACGTACAACAAGAGGAGCCGAGCTGAATTGGTACAATACATTTCAAGTAACCAGCTCAAATCATGAGCAAATGACGCGTCAGTGAGCTTCAAATAGTGCATCTCTTTCTGGTTATTGTGAAAGCAAGAGAGGAGATTCGTATGCCACTTCTAGGACAATTTGTACAACTGCTACAAAGGAAGGGTTTGCAAATTGTAGATTTCTTCAAACCTAGTGTTTTCGGGTTGAGTTCTATCAACGTGAAGAAGAAGCAACTTCAGGGTGCCGGATTATTCTCTTAACCATGCAGCAACGACAGGACCGGTTATCAATCAGCCGGAGCTCTTCGAACAGCATTGAAGCATCCTCGAAGGAATCACAGCAGCTGCATCCAATCCAATACATAGTACTGATCATCCATGCTTTTCCAGATAGGGATTGGTTAAAATGTAATACTAACAAATAAAGTCTCACTATTTGCAAATCAGATAAACCCTTCCGCATCAAGTAAATTCCAGGGCCTGAAGTACAGTGTGCTTGATTTGTTCAACTGCAAGTGGATAATGAGTAGGCTGATGTGCAGACAATAATGCCATTGTCTTGAAAAGCTAGAACTTATGCAGTTATCATAAAGTATATGTACCACTCATGCATTAATACAGTCAGAGACATTCTGTCGAAATTTTACGAATAATCAAATGAGGTAGCTGATAACTAGCTATAAAAGAAGCACATGCAGAAATTTTCAGAACTCGGTGGAGCTATAAAGAAGCAGGACTTCGGTACTGTTAAACCAAACTCCACATTTTCCACCGACCAGCCTTCGCATAAGCAGTATTTCCATAGCCTTCTCTTAATGCAGTATCGAAAATAGCATTGGCAAGTTCAACTTTCCCCAATCTACCAAGAATACTAATCATGGCACTGCCTAATTTTCCTTGTTCATTTCTTCTTCTCTCTCTTCCAACAGCGGATTGAAAACGCTCTCTCTTTTTCATACTCACCTCTGTTCCCAAGCTCTCGAAGCAAGAAATTGTAGTCATCGGAGCCGCAAAGCTTAGACTCCAACGAGACAGTGAGGGAATAAGTGATGCTAGAAAGTGTTTATATAGGTTTTGAAAACATGGGTAAAAGTGGAGTGACAGTGAGATGCAATTGCTGAGAAAGAAACTGCCGAACAAGAAGAAAGTTTGGGTTTTTTCTCTGAAATCTAAAGGACAAGAGAGAGAGAGAGAAAACTCAGCTGGGTGTTTTTCTGTTAATTCGTTAGTTGAGACATTGATTTCAGGGGCACACTCGTGTCACTAACTGTTGTCCTTTTGCTTTTACACAAAATGCTTACCACACATTTACAAGTACAATGAAGATCTTCAAGCCTCGATCACTTCTTTAATGACACTAAATAATCGAGATGGCACATCGACTGATTGATTATGCTTGGTGCTATACCTCCATAGTCGATTTGGTCTTTGTGCTATACCTCGATCCTTTGTCTCGATTAATAAGATTTACCATTCTTCATTCTTAGGAAATGATTCTAGTGCACAGAATAACTGGAAAGGAGCATGGTGGCACATTAGCTTCATAGATAACTCAGGTAATTGAACTGTTGTGATTATATACTAAAGGAGTAATTGCTGCCTGTCGTTTTTCATGAGAAACTCAGTTTATCTGGTACATTTTTTATAGGTTTCGTGGAGGAAGACAGTCTTTATTCAACCGGAGATCAGACGGGAACTTATTATTTCGAATTCGCTCGGCCTTTGAGAACCATGGATCGTTTACAACAGGTCACACAACATTCTTCTCGCTTTGGCCTTTTAGTGTATTTCCTTCCAGTTAGTTTTTCATTTGTATTAGATTTTTACCTAGCAACATGGCACACACAAGCAACGACTCCGTTTGATTTGCAGGACATTCAGTTCACAATTGATGAATCGAGCAAGATGTCGGTCGCATTCTGGTATCCGCTCAACGGGAATCCGTGGGTTGGATCTGGACATTATACAATCAACTGTGATTGGGTGCCATTGTATATTGCTTCAGGTGGTTCTATGCTAACGGAGTCGGCACCGAGCAGCTCCTTGGACGCGACCAGCGACTTCACCTTTCTGTTCTCATTAGCAGCTCTCTGTATAGCCTTATTTGTTGCATATCAGGTTCGTAGGCTCAACAGTGTCTCGTTTACACAGATAGAAAATCTTTAGATACTGATAAAATGCTTGAGATTGTACCATTTTATAAAAAAAAAGTTTTACTTGTCTCTAATCGATATGCATCTTCAGATTACAACTTATCTACTGCAAGAATTAAGAAATGGGCAATCAAAAAGATCCATATGAAAATAAAGTTCAAACCTCCCACCTATCACCTTAGTGTCTTATGATTGAAGAGCATAAGCACATGCAAAAAGTTGGAAAATGTGACAAAAAGTTATCCCAGAATAAAATAAAGCACAAACAAGGATCCCTTGAAGAGCGGTTAACGTTCCTTCACCCCATCTCTCTCTCTCTTGCAAACCCTTTTTATGGACTTTCATTTTTTAACATTGTGTTTGGTTTATGTTAATATTTCATTTTATCTGCACGAACCCAGTGATTTCGGTGATAAAAGAATTATTGTTATTTTTTGAGTTTTCGGGTTCGAGCGTAAGAATTGTTAAGAGTGTGAGCGATCAATGTCAAATGACTTAGAGTTACTTTGAACATATAATGTCTTATACTTATCCCATATTAATAAAAAAAAATATTTCATTTGATCTCTCTCCTAATTAGGGTTATTATTTTTATTTATCGGTCTGAAGCAAATTATAAAAATAAGGGTAAAGTACACAAATGATCTCTCGACGATAGGGTACCACTTTATTAAGTTCATTGACTATTAAAAGTTTTAAAATGGTCCTCGGATATAGAATGTTCTTTTGTTGAATCCATCTGTTATTAAAAGTTACAAAATAGTCACTTGGCTATTTATTATGTTACAAACTCGTCATTTTTCGTTAAAATTTTACGGCATTTTGAGTTGTTAACCTATTGACTGTGATATAATAAAACATGATCCTAAAATCTCAAACAACTATCATAGTTCAGTCATCATGTTAATGTCTAGCACAGACGACTGCTAATTTTTTAACGAAAAAGGATGAGTTCGAAATATAACGAATAGTCGGGTGACTATTTTGTAACTTTTAATAGTCAAAAGACTCAATAAAACAACATTCTATAGTAGAGGATCATTTTAAAATTTTTAATAATCGAGAGACTTAATAAAATAGTATATTATAGTCAGGAACATTCGTATACTTGAGGGCAATTCATAACGGAGATCTTCCACGAAAGCTGTTCTCAACTTGACGTTGAATAACCTACTACCCTACCTCCCCTTATCCCATTACATATGAGAACAGAGTCATCTAATTTTTTTACATATAAAAATAGGGTCATCTAATTTTTTTCACAGCCAATATCAAATAAAAAAGTGAGATGATAATCAAGTATTGGTAGGTATAAACGACCCAAAGTTTAGGGTTAGGTGATCATATTATATGATTAGACGTTAGGTGATCATATTATATGATTAGACAAGAGGAATAGAAAATTCCAGCTTATCACCGACAAGAATGATTTTTCCACGACATGGGACCAAAAATCATTCCATGTTCTGTAATTATGAAATATTATTTATACATTCCTTTTTTTCAATGTAAATACAAAACAAACATCTGGGTACGAGGTTTTAATTACATTAGATGATCATTGTAAAAATAAAATGTAAACAAATTGTGCGACGAATTTATATTATATAATATGGGTGTCGTTTGGACGCCGAGAAAATGACGAAGTTCGCGAAGGGCAAATTAGGGTCCATCTGCTTGGGGAAATTACTAATGTTAGGTACGTAGATCTGGTTGGTGGGTCTGTTTTCTTGTTACTATTTGGACATTTCGTCTTGTCTTGTCGTTGCTCTATGAATCATACGTGTTATAAATTTTAGGATGAATGGCTTTAATAAAATGAATAATTAACATAAAAAATTTAAATTTTCAGGGTGGACACGTGTCTACCCTAGATTCAATATACATCCGCCACTACGTGCAATAGGTTCATTTCATTTAAAATATTATGTATGAATCAAACAACTTCAATGGTTAAAGAATTAATGTTATCTTTAGACGATTTATATTCCAGTATGATGTCTGCAGGAGCAAGGACAGAGTTAGGACCAAGCGTTGAGGAGGGTAAATTGTTTTAAAGAAAAAGAACAAGGATCTATTAAGTATTTGAATCTAAGAATTGAGAGGGACAAAGGTCTTATTTGACTAATATTAAAACTAAAAAGACCTAAGATGTCATTATACCAAAAATTTTGGGATGGGCAACAACTTTTCTTAAGAGCATTTATTATTAGATATTAAGAGTTTTTGAATATATATTATATTATATTCGTATTAGATTAATACAATATTAAAATAAAATATAATTGGATATTAGAGAAAAACAAATAAGCCAAAATGTATTTGTCAAAAAATAAGCCAAAATGTAAAAGCAAAATGCCGTGATTGCTCAGTCGCTGTTGTCTTGTCCTTGCATTTTCCTTTGATTATGCACGATGATGAACGGCCGGAATAACTGTCAGTATCAACCCAACGGCTAGGATTTCGACAGTTGTTCATTATTTTTACACGAAAATAAAAATATTAGTAAAATAGAATAAAATAATTAATCAGATTAAAATTACGAAATTCCTTAATGTGACTGATGTTAACACTTAAAGATTAACTTCGCGAAAATACATCAAAAGTCCCTGTATTTTTAAAAATATTAATGCGGCACTTATATTAATTTTTTCTCTTAATATAGTCTTTTAACTCAAAAAAACAAACTCAATTGGATCCTTTGACCATTTGACCAGGTTTTTTATTGTTTGAACGTTACAGTACTAATGTGACAGTTCACGGTGCTCAGGGATAAATCTAGGTGGGGACGGTCGCCCCCTTCTAAAATTTTAAAATTATCATACATTTCAGATTTTTTTATGTATTTTATATTGAAAATATGATTTCGCTCCTAGAATTTTATAAGTTTAAGTTCACCTCTGAAAATTATAAGTTCAAGTTCGCTCCCCCAACACAAAATATGTGTCTGTCCCGTGGGTGCTGACGTGACAGTCTACGATACTGACATGACAGTATATGTTTGAATTATCAATTTAGTTCATCTATCATGTTACCTGACATGTCATCAACAACCTTAAATTGTCAAATTAATATCGTGAACTGCCACATCAATACTATAAACTATTACGTCAGCTAACATCCAATAACAACAAAATATTAATCAAAATAATGTAAGAGTTAGATTAATTTTTAATAAAAAAATGCGGACCTCTTATATCTTTTTATCGTATCTGTTGAGGTGGTGACGGGTTTTCTCTACCGTTATGTCATTTGATCGTTACCGCGAACGTCGGCCTTAAAGTAAAGGAACTGTAGATTTAGACTATCGAAAAAGGCAAAGATAAAAATAATAAACAAATGAAGACCAAACCCCAAAGCCAAAACCTTTTCTGCTACTGAGATTAATTAACTAAGAGAAGAGAAAGCCAAGCCAACGGTATTAACAATCAACTTCCTTCTTCTCCGTTTCTCAATGTTTGGGGGACTCGAGTTTGCTCCTCCTTTTTCAAGCTGAAGTTCTTTGACTCGGGAACTCAGTGACGGCAATTTTGACTCCGAGTCATTGCGTGCGAGTTTTGGTTCCCGTGATGTTATCTTCACCGTTGGGTCCTCACTTGGCTGTTGCAATTCGCAAATGAGTTCGTTATTGTAGTCTTCTTCTTCTTACTTTTTTATGTGTTTGGAGGCCTTATGCTCACTTGAAACTGTGATCTCGTTGTTTGTTTGTTGGGAAATTATCTCCAGATCTGGCTTTGTCTCCGTTTAGGATCAACGGCGTCGGCGATGTCAGCTTTTGTTATTCCAAATCCCAGTGGTAATAGATCTTCCGGATTATTTTGATTTTGCTTGTCTTCACTGTGTAGAAATTTAACTATACTCTGGTTTCCAAATTTGGTTGGTTGAAAATAAAAGAAAAATGATAACTTAGAACAAGGCTTAATCCTCATTTTTCATTATTTTTAGCTGAAGATTTGAATTAAGCTCTGTTCAGATATAAATTTCGATTTGAAAAGAATCCGTTTTTTGTTGCACAATTTGGGACCAAAGATATAAAAGGAAAGATTTCAATTGACTCATATAATGCACTCATTTAGGTTTAGCTCGAAACTTATTACTTGAATGAAATTGATAAGAGACTGCGTTTTGGATAAATTTGGAGAAAAATAAGAGCCTTTTAAGATCAAGAGAGAAAGAATCATGTTGACTCTCTTCACAAAAACTAGCAGTAGAAGATTTTAGCTGCATATGTTTATGAAAGAAACAGTTGATTATCTTCGCAGTGAAAAGGTATGCTTGCATTTCGGTGTATTTGATTTACAATCTTGTACTGTCTGTCACGATTGCGATTTTGACATTGATTTATTTTTTATCATTGTTGTAGCTTTTTCTCCTTCTGTGATTGAGTTTTATTCTTACTATGTTAAATTAACAGGAGCATTGGGAAATAGCTGTTCATTTTTTGTGAAAGTCGTAGCAGTTGTGAGTTGTGCTATTTTGGTCGCCGGTGCTGATTTTTCGAATAATCTACTTCAAGCACCTGCAGAATCACCCGTTAGAGCACACAAGGGTGCACTAGCTGTTTCTGGTCTTCCCCTTCCTTCCAATCTGCCATTGATTCATAGATCTCGCCAAAGATATTTTTCACCACATAGTGCACCAACACTTATAGTACCAGCCCAACCACCTCTTAATGGTCTGTTTATAACTTCCCGTCACCCTCCTACCAGCTCGCGCCTGTCAAAACCATTGATGAAGAAGAGTGCCTCAGTGCCTCATGGTACAGACTTGCCAAATATTTCCCCTACACAGATCCGCCCTGGGGAAATTCCTACTGGTTTGGCTCAACCACCATTGTCTCCTGAAGTGTCTGGTAACATATTTTCTTAAACATTTTTTAAACTGTATTCTTCCTTTTTTTATGTTTTTATTACATTTAAAAGTCAACTTCATTTATATTACTTCTATGCGAAGAGCTTCTTAATTTGCTAACTCATACTGTGTATGAGATGCTTACATGGTATTTTCGCAATT